CATAAACGATTTCCTATTACTCCACCATCTTTGAAACACCTCATCCCCCGTATCCTTGCTTAACTTGGTCTCTACTATACACGCTAATGATACTCTATATGCAGGTAAGAGTCTATTTAACTCTCTCTACTTTACAGGGGCATTTAAGACCCTGATGTTCCAAACTAATAAACTACTCATTAATCCCTGGATCAGGGTTAATGCCTTGTATATTAACTTCCCCTCTTTTGCTATCCCCACCTTCTTTGCTCCCATAAGTATAGCCCCTTGATATCATATCATTCCATATTCTCTGCTTCCGAGCCACATTCTCATTCATAACACCTATAACCATGGATTTGTATACCCTCTCTGTCACCCCACCTGCTTTCTTGACTGGACTGGCTTTGCCATCAGTTTTAGTAGTGATTATCTCTTTATTCTTCTCTGCCATAGTGACTCCGACATTCCTCTTTGCTATTCTTACATCTCCATTCACAGTTTCTTTTGGCCAATAAGAAATTTGAGCCAAATTGACAGGCTTTGGCAGATGAGATAAAAGGCGGACTGATGTATCCGCTAATGTGTTATTTTAGAATCGAGAACTAATGATGAAAAAATTTTCTTTGCATGATGGTTCTGGAATGTCAAGCTATGGGGATCTGATGGCAAACTTTGAGGTAGCAGTGCTAAAGCAGCGACAAACTTGTCTGTCAGGTTCTGAACTGGCTGAAATGAAAGAAAATCGTTTCCAAAACCACATTCATCGGCGTGTGAACTTGAAGGTAATCGAGTCTTTCTTGTAGCTCCAGATGTAGATCTCTACACTGAAGATAACCAACCCCCTACTTTGGTATTTTCTGCCACTGCATTTTGTTCCGATGCTCCTTGTGCAATAGACTCAGATAGACCAGATGGTAGTTTGTCACCTGTTTCATTCAGTTGTTGGTGGTGATTCCGTTGTTTTAGAGATATTTGAGCAACATAATTTGTTTTTCAAAGGTTATTTTTCAATCTTTTGTATTTTTTATTTGTTGGGAAAGTATTTAATTATTTGGTGATTCATGGAGTTAAATATCAGAGGAAGCTTGGAAGAATCCACCAATTTTGAAGATAATTAGATTACTAGGTGCCCCTGTTCTATTGGTACGCATACAATCGGTGCATCTCTGACAAGAAAGGTTGTAGGTTTCGATTATTTCAACATCAATAACTCCGTTAAAGTGGCAGTCCATAGTGTCAAAGAATTAAGGTTGAAGATTTCTCTAACATAATTGTACTCTCTGCATTAATCTTACTACCTTTGCACTTGGGTGGGATTGATTTTGTTGGAGTCAGAGTATAGATTATGCTGCATTCTTAATTCACTTTCGTCTGGTATTTGGTTAATGGTTAGATCAGTGTCGCCACTTTTGGAGTAGACCCGGTGGCAATAACAGGAAGCAGGTGTGGAATCGTATTGGGTACTGGTATCCTTTTGCCGAGAGGCATTGGAGCCTCAGCTGCTGCTCTCGAGAAAGCAGCTCTAATGGTACCTTGGTTTTCCTTCTATTTTCATTTGTTTGAGTCAAACTTTGTTCTTATGTATGATTCTAATGTAAATTGATTCTGGAGAAATCGGCAGACCAAAAAAATAGAAAATGCACTGCTTTCTTGGACTGTTTCATTGCTTCTTAATGTCAGATTCATGTCATTTGGTAGATTTTTCTATGTGTTGGTTGATAAGTATTTTAGGTATAACTGAAATATTATATATGTCACTTGCTCAATTTTGAACTTTCAATGCACTCATTCTTATTGTGCGACTGCAACATTGATTACTTTGACCTGTTTGTGCCTCCAAATAATTGTTATTTTTTTCTTTTTCTTTGTTGGACTTACAATGATTCATGTGGTTTTAAATGCACAGCCTCTTCCAAAAAATAGAAGTGTCTCCCAGAAATGGTTACCTAAATTGTAACAGAAAAAGATAATAGTAAATTTTGCTTTGAAAATCAATGGTAGCTTTTGCTGTTTTATCCCTGTGAGAACCTGGGTTTATTCTACTTTTCTGCTTCAGCATAGTGCATTTGATTCAATGCTTTGAGCAGTGACGCCATGTTTTTAAATGTCCTGTGACTGTTTGGATATTTCCATTTAGGGGGGTGGTTATTGCAGGTTTGTGGAAAAAGCATTGTCGTAGAATTTTAAGCAATCATCTTCATAGATTAATTGTTAGTTGATTAACCAGATATACATGGATTAATGTGTTTTGTCATTCATGGACTCAATGCTTGTTATGCATCTTAACTTAATCTGGAACCTTGAATTTCAAATTTAGTGTCAGATTCACGCTTATCACTCTTCTTTGCGTTATACAGTTTCAGGAATGCTTTCTGTGTACTTACTGTGTAAAGATCTTATGTTAGGCTGTGTTTACTGCTAAGGATGGAATCTAACTCTGTCTGAACTTATGATCATATCTTGTTTTGGAGAGTGGTATGTTTTGTATTTGGAGAGTCCTCAGCCTGTACAATTACTCTGAATTTCTGAAATCTTTTTGGTATAAAAATGTTAATTTGGATTCCAGTATCTTTCACTGAAAGTTACTTCACTCATAGGTGATTTTGCTACTGGTCATCCCACCAAATAGGAGTACTCATTGGTCTCGCAACACAAAGTTATCACCTAATGATTGTTTACCAAATGGAAATAAGAAGCTGATATATAACAGGTCGGAGCGGTCTATAAAATATTGTTTTTGCGACTCCATAGGAGGCTGTTTTCGTGATCTGAAACTGTGATCTCGGAGTCACATTGCAATTGATTTTACCACTGCATCACGGTTCTCTGTCCTCGTTGCAATGAGATCCTAAATTTTAATTTGCACAAGTAGAAATGACAATAATTCTGGGTACTTACTAATAAGATAGTGAAATAAGGGAAATTTTAGAGGGATCTGATATCCTTCTACCTCAGACAAGCACTGACTGAATAGAACAATTGAGGTCCGTTGTAGGGGTCTATTTGTTTTCACAAAGTATTACTTGCATGTTGAAACTGAAAACATTCCCATTCTGTATATGTCACTTTAGTTTTCTTTCTTTAACCTTTACAGTTGTTTTCACCTTCACTGGACTGCATGATCTCAAGAAGTGCAGCAGGTGGTTTTTGTTGGATGCTTCCTGGAAGAAAATGCTGTGAGCAAGAACATTCCGGATTCTATGGTTCCCAAACCCTGACCGCAGCAACCCTTTTTTTCGGATCTGAATTTTGATCTAGTAGTGCATGAGGTTTGGTACATGATTGAATGATGTTTACATCTGTATTTAATCAAGAAGCAAGCCAGTTTTCCTTTTTGATGTGGTGTGTTTTAGCGAAGCAATCCAGATTTTAGGTATCATGCGGTTGGCAGAGTAGAGCTCTTCGTCCACAGACTCTTTAGGTGATGACATTATTCACAAAAGAAAGTTTTCAGTATTATGGGATTTGTAATTCTATAGCCTTTTGCTTTTCCAACATTTTGTTGTATTGTCTCATCTCCTTATTAGCCTCTTGCAAACAAAAATCATTGAGATTTCAGACTTGCACTTTTAAAATAGATCTCCAGCTGAAAAAAAGAAAAAAAAAAATTATTGAGATTTCATACTTGCACTTTTGCACTATTCTAATCATTAGCTGATGCAGCTCTTTGCACTTGTTACTTTTGCATTTAAAGTAAAACTAGCATAGTCAGATTTTTTGCTTAAACTAATGTTTGCTGTACACATCGAATACTCGCTATCAATTAATACAGAGTCAAGCCTCATATATTTTATTAATTTTTTGATAATCTAACTTTTCAAGAATATACGTACGTGCTCAATCTTTTTTATTTTGGTAAAGGTTTGAATTGAATTTCCAACTTTTCCTAAATAATGAAACCAAATTTAGCAACACAAATCAAATGGCAACTTTCTTTGGAAATATATAAGAGTAAGAAACTGAAATCGCAGTTACTAGCTTGTCGTCGTTAGTCACCTGATCGATTAGTCGCCCAAATAAAAACTTTTAGCTAAATGTTGATAGTAAGATGTTCTCAATACTACATATTATAAAAGTAAGATGTTTTCTTAAAATTTCATATAAATTATATTCTGTTATAAAAGATTCAATGTCAAAATTTATCTACAAAATAATCTGGAAGTACAAACTGGTTCGCGACCAAAAACAACTTAGTAATAACTAAACTCCATTAAACTTTTTTACTCCCTCTATTCTTGAAAAATAGTCCTTGTTTTGAGATTTGTACTAAAAACAGTACAAATTTCAAACTCAATATGTATTATTTTTTTGCACAGTGGTAATAGTATTTAACGAACATAAACCCGTCATATATATCTTTTGCAACGCACGGGGTAAACTCTAGTTTATACTATAATGAAAAATTCAATTTTAATTTATACTTCCTCTGGTCCTTATATTTTGATTTGTCCTAGGTAAAATCTACTGCATATTTTTGTTTGACAAAAAAAAAATCTTAAAAATATTTCATAACAATCAAGAGAACACAATAAATGTAAAAATATGTTTTTAACGTTATTTTATTAATTAAAAATGCGTACTATAAATGAATATTAAGGACCGAAATATGTTTCATAACAATCAAAAGACAAAACAAAATATTAAGGACCGAAGGAAGTATTATAAATGAAAATCCAAACTGAAAGTAAAAATAAATATTTAAAAATCGGACAACAATTTTACTATTATAAGCTAAAAACTAAAAATGAAAGTGAAAATCGGACAACAATTTTACTATTATAAGCTAAAAACTAAAAATGAAAATGAAAATCTAAACTGGACAATAATATCAAGACGACGGGTATGTTTTTGCATTTGGGATTAGGGAGGATGTATCCGAAATCGCATCTAGCACGCTCTAATTAGAGAATGGAACAGTGAAGTTGCTTTATGGGTTTTCCTTTTCTCAGTCGAATCACATCAATGGTTACGATATTCCCACAATCGAATATTATTAATAAAATCTATTCTAGTTCACGAAACACATCAATATATACAGTTATACACTACGCAGAACTCAAGGGGGGAAGAAAACACACACACACACACACACTTACGTGCTGATAACTGGTGGTGTCGCATCAATAATGCCGAAAAGGTTTGCAAATTTCAATCATAGCCAAGATCAGGTAAGATAAAACAGACTTAAAAAATAAAAAGTGCTGCACTGCACTGCTGCTAAATGAATTAATAATAGTGTCCCCACGTGAAAGTAGACATATTTGAGGAACAAACAATTACAACAAAACAAATAAACAGTAATTGATTCTGTGATTGAGATACAGTATAAGAGAACAAAATGGTAGACAAATCTAATCATCAGAAATTAAGGTGGAGAGGCGAAGAAGGGGCGTCCACCGGTGGAGGATGCGCCGGCGCCGGCGCCGGCACCGCAGAAGGTGGAAGAATTGGGATCGCAGGAGAGGTGGAAGGTGTTGTCGAGCTTGTGAAAACCATGCTTGAAAACTCCGAAACCGAAGACGATCCCGATGACGATGACCACCCCAATCAAACACGTGCACAGCATGCAAATCCTTCCACCACAACACATCTTCGATGATTCTTGCTTTCTCCTCCTTCTTCGAGATCTATCTGAGAATTACGTACGCACACAGGAAATTTGGGGAATTGATTAATTAGTGGGAAGTTTGATAAAAGAAGAATAAACTTGGAGAAAGTGGATAAGGAATAGGGGAAACGGAGTTGTTGGATTGGTTTGCCTTTTTGCTGTGGTGTGTGGTTGGATCAGTTCAGATGTTGCTGTTTGTTGATGATATATTCCTTTGAAGCGGTTACTCTACGCTATTACCATTTTCCGCCTTAATTTATGGCTTCAAATTTTAAAAATAAATATTAACCCCCAAAATCGGTTTTACTGCCTTTATTGTTATTATTACTCCGTTATTTAATAGTTGCAATAAGTGGTGGTAGTTTCATTTTTATGCTCAAGCAAGAATAATAGGAACAATGACTATTTACAGTAAAATATGAGATAGTGATTCGTTAAAAATACAAAATATCATCCCACTAAAGTCATAAGTATCAACATAATAAGGGCGGTTAAATAAATACACACATATTCGCACGAGTTAGTAGTCACTATTTAATTTCACCATTCAGTATCAATATATATATAGAAAAATTCTATGGGTCAGTTATTGATTTTTGACTTAACCATTCAGTTAAAATTTATCCAATAAAAATATAAGACACACATGTCATGGTTTGGTGAGAAACATAGTATAAAAATCTAAATTAATTTTTGACCCGCTCATCAGGTTATTTTACCATCAATCTTATTTAACTTACTAAGATAAACATTTAATTAACCTATACTAAATGAATCAAACGGAAAGAAAAAAAAAAAAACCTATCTAGTGATTTCAATTTAACTTTATAATTACAAGCTTGGAAAGAGAACCGTTTTGAAAACTCTCGCAAACATTGGTTCTAATGGAATTTTGAATCAATAGTGAAGCTTGGTGGTTCTCTCTTTTCTGCCTATGCAGAATTAGAGTAGTTTTTATCTACTTTTTACTTGTGAAGACATAGAGAGGAGGGCGTTGTTGTTGTTGGAGGCTTTCCATTTTAGAAAATGCGCAGAGGCTGACTGTCACTCTATTCTTCTGCATCACCGTTCCCAACTCATTCTTCTTTCTCCAAAAAAATAATTCTTATGATAATACCAATGAATAAGACTCCCTCGCTCATCAGTGACACCAACGTAGGAGTTCGGATGTATATAGAGAAATATCACAATTGATATAGTAATATCTATTTCGTTATTAATGCTGTTATTTAGCAGCCTTCAACATGTTCTCTTTTCATTTCTTTTTACCGAACAATAAAAATAAAGGTTTTTCTAAACTTGGACGCAAAAGTTTATCTTCTATAGCATTTTTTTCTTTTTAAGATGGTGGATTACGGTTTAGAGAGAACGGATAGTAAAGGAAGACATGGGTTTCGCTTCATTAGTTACAAATAGATCGGATGACTTTATGAAATTGTATAGTGCGCTGTTAGTAATCACAATTCGTGACTAGAAAATGACATCTGGGGTTACATATTCATAGAGTGCAATAATTTGATAATAATGTTGAAAAAAAACACGTGTCAAGTTTTAAATAATATTACATGACATGTAACACCAGAAGAAGAGGTACAAAGAGCTGTCGAGTTATCGGATCAATTCCGCATTAAATATTCTACATGATTAATAAAATTTTTTGAAACAAAAATTAATAAAATCTCAAATCAGATTAATCGTATCTGTAAATCGTGTCGAAAATTGATACCAACGAGATATCATAACTGTACTCTTTGACTCAAACGGCCACCTGGTTATTTCGAACTTGATTGGGCACAACAGCTTGGATAAGTCCACTTTCGCAGAACTTAACTTCTAAATTCCACTTTCGCAAAAGTTAACATAACTTCTAAATTTCATAGTCTCATATTTCTTGGGCAATCCTCATGAGTTCGTGATTCTAAATCCAAAACCCATACATCCGTTCAGGAAAGAAAAAGTTTGCAATGAAAGAACTGGTAGGTTGGGCTCCTAACTATGTGGTTCAAAAACCCAAATATTTAAATAATTTTGGCCCAACTTGTGTTTTATTTCCAGCCCACATTTTTTGGGTAACAAAAGGCAGCAAAATCATATCGGGGACTGCTGCTTTTGCATGTGTGTTTTTGGCCACAAAATCGGGAGGAGAAAAGAAAATTTCCAGGAAGACGGTATCAGTGTCTGAATTCTTCAAGTTTGAAGGAGCAATTATTGTCCGTGGTCCTGAAATTTTTACAAGAGGTACAGGACTCGTCAATCTTCATTTTCAGCAAAGGGTTTTGATTTTTGTCTATTAAATTGTGAGTTATGCATTTTTTAAATTGTTGCTATTTTGTGAAAGATTTAGCATATATTGATGTTGCATTATGATTCTAGTGCTTTTGTAGACTCTTGTTAAGGATTAGAGATCATTTGGATATTATTGGATTGTGTACTCTATTCTTGTTTCAGTGATTAATGGATTTTCGACCTTTAGATCTCGTAATTTTTACTCATTCACATCAAAAGGGATTTTCACGTAATTTTTAGTGTTATCGTGTTGGTTTTATTCTTATTGTTTTGTTACTTTATTATTTTGACTTGGTGCAGTTGGTACTTTTTCGCACTTGTGTTGAGTAACTAGTCTGTTTGGTTTGTGTTTTGGTCCTTGCCTCCCAAGAATTTCCCTATTGAAATCAAATCATTGGGCCAGTGATTTAGAAGAACTCCGGGAATATAAAAGGCGAGAAGAACAGAGTAAAGTATGCTAATTAAATTTGTTAGTTTATATTAAAGTATGCTAATTAAATTTGTTAACTTATAAAATATTCTTCATCCTCACAGTGATAGTGCCATAAGGAAATTGTGTGATAACTTACTTTGCAACGTGAAACAAAAAGGCAACAAGGATGATAATGGTTTGATTTAGAAGTTAGAACGTTGTTGTTCTTTCTTATTATCATATCCTTTTTTAAACATGTTATTATCATATCATCTTTAAAAAAAAAAATCATAAAATCTAATTTCAACAATAAGTTTTGATCAGCCATTGGTCCTTCCTACTTCCCATATCCAGTTGGAAGTATTTGTAATAGTTTAACCTTACGTTGTTGTAATATAATTCAATTCCTGTAATTTTTTCCTTAATATAATGATTATCACTTTTGATTAAAAAAAAACAATTAGGAGCATTTGTTTCTCAATCCACTCGGTTATGAGGTAATTTTTATTTTATTTTTTTTGTTCAAATGAAAGATCCTAATGCTTTACGTCAAAATTATGACTTCGAATTGTTAGCACCTTTAAAATTATATATAGATATATACTTGCTTTATGCGAATGATTTTTTTTAACAATTATTCATCACGAAATATAGATATATTTGTCGTGCATAAAATTGAAAATTTGTTACTTGTCTAATTGGCAATTCTTATTACATTATTGTTATTGTTGGGAGTCTGATTCTTCACTTTCAGAAGTTTATTATATTTACAACAATTTTTGGAGCCTCTTCATTGCTTTTGTTCTTTTTTGCTTTTTTTTTTCTTTTGGTACAACCTCTTCATTAATTATAATATAGTGAGGATAAGATCAATTGTAGCAGCAAAAAGAATTCAGCATGTCATATAGGTTTTCCCATTTTGTTCAAATATATAGGTGGAAAAATCTGAGTTGGAGAGGAGTGTATTTGTAATTTTATTCAATTATTAGTATTTCGATTTTGAAAGTAAGAAAAAGCTTTATATTATTATTATAATAATAATGGAATTACAGCGACGAGTTTCTCAGCGACTTGAATGCGTGCATTGAGGCAAAGGAACTGGAAATTTAACACGGGTGCAAAATCTGGAACCCTCAACCTACAGTTGAAATAATGATCGTGACCCTGCTCCATTGATTTTATTGTATCCTCCCTATGGGAATATGACCAATATTTTTGAGCCGAAACGAGATGAGCATTAATAAAATCGTATTCAGTCAAACAAAACACCGCAGCATCCCGGATCTGGCCCGACTCATTGCGTGCGAATTGTTGCAGAGACTCTTGTGCAATTTTTGCGGAACGTTGAGCACAAGATATCGCTTTCGTGCCATAATCTTTCATGTCGTTGTGGAGTCCCCGAGAGGGAGAGGCCATCTGTTTCTCTAAGCACTCCGTACAAAACAGGAAGTATTCCGTTTGGTTGCACAAGTTGCTAATTTCTGAAGCAATTTTGGCATCTAATTTCGGTGGTAGGGTTGAAGTAATTCTCCCAAAAAAACATGAAAAAAGAACAAATCCAAAAGATAAAGCCTGCAAACCCATACTTACTTCACAAACTCTCTTTCGATCTGGAGTACTACTATATTTCAAGTATGAACTGCCCAAGTGATCCATGTATAGGGAACCAAACTATTTAAAGTTACATATTAGCATTTGTTGCAAACCGCTTTTATGTTTGACAAGTGTTCAAATTTTTATTGAAAATTTGTGTTAATCGGCAAGTGTCAAATATTTTCAATCAACCTGTCAACATTAAAAGTTTGACTGCAGACCATGCTCTTTTATGAGGTTTTGTAATCTTCTATATTGAGAGAAAAAAAATCGTCTCTTTTCCACCCCAAAATCCATAGATTTGTAATGGATGGTTTTTACTTTTTAGCTCCATTCCCAGTTCCAAACCTAGTCATTGTAAGTGAGCATTTACACAGCACCCCATCTAATCCCTATTTTGAACGATCCAATTGATAATGCAGGAGAATCCAGATAAAATCAATCTAGTGACACATTTGAAGCTATGATGCCATATGTGGGTAACGCCTGGGTAAAAAAAATTTGAAGCTAAAAAGGAAAAAAAAAAAAGAACTACAAAAATAGAGTCAGGGACATGAGGAAATTACGACGCCGGTGGAAGAGAATGGGGATGAGGAAAATTGGAAAGGCTATACGGGAGATGACATTGCCTGCGAACCGGATGAGAGAGGCAGGTCAGGTGACTAGTCGGATCATCTGGAGCGGGATAAAAACGCGGCGGAACTGGATAGTCTGTAACTGCTTGGAGACGTTGAACCCCCTGGAGCTCCGTTGACCCGGCGTTGCTGTTGTGATTAGGGAATTTTTGGGGGGCGGAAAGTGATGGCTTTGGTGGGAAGCTACGGATTCTAGGCAGCAGAGCACATGGTGATTGCTGTACTTGTGGAGGTTGGCTAATGAAGGCTGCCGGAGGCCGGAGTTGATAATACAGTATGGTTAAAAGTTTTAAAAACTAAAAAACAGAGCATAACAGGGGTCGGAAGACTCGAAAGAACAGAGTTTGCCTATAACACCCCCATGGGACTTCATCATTTGCCAAAA